TTTCTATTTTTTTTGAAAAAAAAAATAGAAAAATAAAATAGAAAACAGAAAACTTGTACTAAAATAGTAAACCAGTGTTAAAAGAAAAAAATAAAATAAAATTTAAAACAAAGAAGATAGAATAATAATCATCATAGAAAAAACGATAACCAATTGTATTCTGAATAGTATGTGATTGTGCTCTGTATATCTACCTATCTATCTATCTATCTATCCATACATATATATATATAGTTTTATGTGTATTAAATAATTTTAGGAAATAATAATAATAATCCCAAGGGGTTATATATACTATACATAAATGTACATAGGTACAAAAATGAATTTACTTCTGCTAAGTAGCAATAGTAGTACATATAGTATGAATATATATACATCATTTACACGTATTTTTTTAACCAATCAATGTTGAGTATTGTTTTATTTATGTTCATATAATATAATAATAATAATAATAATAATAATAAGTGAAAAATAACAATACTACTAATATATTGGACCAAACTAATGAATTATAAATCAGTTTTAGTTTTATCTTTGAATAGCGGTATACAATAATGTAGGGTATTTTGATTGGCATAATAATGCATAGAGGGAATATAATATAAATATAAATTGAATTATATTTTTCTTATAAGAAACTAATTGTTTCGTTATTGTAAGTATTGAGAAAAAAATTTCGTTGTTGTTGTTGTTGTTATCATTGAAAGATTACATTTTACTATTGAAACATTTGTAAGATCAATTGTTGAAATGGTTTGTAACAATTATTCTAGTAATAGATTACAATGCCTTATTAACAAGGAAAAAAAATAATGGAGCAATCACTTGATCATGTGATATGATTGGATGAGTTTTGTAAATTGTATAGTCAATAAAATAAGGTTTCTGTTACTTTGAATGATGATATATTTATTAGTATAGGGTTGTGGAGATTATTAAGATCATGAATGAACCAATGTTAGAACATCATTGAAAATCAGTAAGTACTAGATGGTCGTATTATCCTATTGTGGAACTTTTCAGCAGTTCTCATCCACGATCCTGCCTGGCGTGATTTGAACCCAGAGCCTTCAGTTTTGCGCGCAAACGCTTAATCTCTAGACCATTGAGTCGACCAATCTACGAAATTGCGTGATCACCTTCCATTGTGTTGACATATTTATCTGACAAATTTTAAAAGTGTTTCGTACAACTTCTACGATTAATTAACTGTTTATATTCAGTAGTTGTTCAGTTTTTAGTTGGTATCAGCTTTACAATTTAGAATACATACGTTTTAATAGTAAATTTGAGTAGGTCAAACATTTTACGTATAGAAAATATTCTACGTCTTTGAATGAATATTTTGTTAAGTGTATAAGAGTGTCAAAATTTAGATTTAAAAGAAACATAAAATTCACTTGTTGTTGTTTTACTTGAATCTTCCCATTGTTATTTAGGACTGCAATTGATCAGTCTCTTGTTGACGTATGTGCATCCTGTGAGAATTGCCTCGATATAACCTTAAATCACAAGCTTTTTAAGCAAAGATGGATAGTGGTTAGCAGTGGAATCCAAGACGCACGTTTCGTCCTATTTGGCGTTTGAAGCGAACGATACTGGGTTCGAATCCTTGCGATTCAGCTACATCCAGTTGACGAGTCCTAAATAGGAAGAAATGCGCGTCCTGGATTTCATGGCTAGCCACTATCCATCTTTAGAAAAACATGTTATGGAAGATCTACTAAAAATACCTGTCTTTGTAAATATTATTACTGATTTCTGGTATACTTAGATAGAATTCAGTTTAGTTGATAATCCTCAAGAATTCCTCCTAAAAGTCGTTAAAATATGAAGACTTCGTTTTATCAATATTGTGCGAAAAATTCTCACCGAGTTCTAGCAACATGACGAATATTGAGTCATATCATGATTAGATAATTCCTGAAAGCTTATGTAATATGAAAGTTACGACTTAGTGTACAAGTATCCGTATTTTCTGTATCATGGATAACTTTGTACGTTAATTTTTCTATTTTACCCTACCTACATTTTATCATTTGTTCAAAGTGTGAGACATCTATGTCAAACTGAGAAGTGATTATTAACTCACATCAAGCGTTTAAGTATTAGACGGATCAAAATAAACACGAATTCATTCACATTCTGAATTTAAGGGTAGTTCCTAACAGTAACTTATTTTATTTAAAGTACAGATGAAAAACCAAGCAGAGCTAATTATTTGTTTTATTTAAATAGGAGATTATTTATTATTTAGAGTCAGCAATCCATCGTTAAGTCAAAACCAGGATTTTTAAGTCCTCATGGGTAATATTCATCATTTAGAATTTCAAGTTGAAATACAGCAGTTCGGATCATTAACTTGAGTCAACGAGGTAATTTGTTCAGTCGCTAATTTAAAAAAAAAATTGATAGTAATATCTAGTGGTTTATAAATGAATCGTTGAATGAGAGAGAAAGATTGAATCAGTTTATTGAAAACTTACACATTCATCGGTCCAATGAATTTAATATGATTGAATAAGAAATAACTTACTTTCTGTCAGTCAACACCAAAACGTTCATTCTATAAACAGAATCCTAAATATCGCTTAACATATTTATAAATTCAGTTATCTTGTCAATAAAAAAAACTAATAATACTAGTAAGAAACTGAAAATTACGTCAATTTTGAGGAAACCATAATTTTCTAATGATTAAAGTTCAGAGATGATACACAAACATACATTAATTTTAAACACTATCAGCAGATAGCAATCACGATTGGATTCACTAGTCGATTTAAGCTAGACTACTATTGAAAAACTGAAAGTACTGTACGACCGTTTCGTCCTGCTGTGGGACTCCTCAGCACTAAGAATCCATGAACCTGCTCCAAAAGAACTCGAACCCACAACCTTGGGGCTCGCGCGCGAACGCTTAACACCTAGGACATTGAGCTGGCATCTAACGGTATAAATGTCTGACCTCAACCAATCCACGAAACTGCGTGATCATCTTCCATTGTACTGAGGTAGATACCTGTCTCTACCCGACACAGATTAGCTCCACTGGTCATGGCTTTTCACTAGAATTCCGAGAATTCCCTCACGAAGCTAGTCACTGGTGAGCACATGGTAATTATCAGTATAAGGTTGTTGAGATTATTAAGTTTTTGATTGATGTTAGACCATCACTTAGGAGATGGTGAGTAATATGTGATTGAATTTATTTGGTCTCATTTTGTTTCTAACTAGCTTAAATTATTTAATTAATGATCTAACAATTGTTCAAAGAACAAGCACCGTTCAAGTAAACAATCTTTATTCATATCTACAGACTCTTCGGTTGTAAATTCATAACCAATCTAAGTTAGACAATCAGTGAAAACATGAGAGCACTGTATGGTCACGCAATATCGTCGATTGGTTGAAGTCAAACCTGCATACGTTAGACCCGGCTCAGTGGTCTAGAGGTCACACAGTCTCATAGAATATCGAAGATTCTTAGTTTGATTTCCGAGTGTGAAATCGTGTATGTGCGCTGCTGATGAGTCCCATGCTGAGACGAAGTGGTGACCCAGTGTCTTTAGGTTCTAAATGGTAGTCTCACTTAAATATTGGAGATAATTAACGAATGGTTGTTTTATCGATTATATATCATCCAATCTAGCCACATATCTTGATAGAACTGAACATTGGTACACTGGAATTGATACGGATAAAGGAATGTAAAATAAAAAGCCCTACAACTTACTATATCTGGTACATGCATTATATAATAAAAAATCATAAGAGATTACCAACCATACGTGTTATGAATCATTGTTCTTTTACTGAAATGTTTTATGATAACAATTTCATATTGTACATAGCATACAATGTTGGATAAAGTGATTATCAATTAACTTGAGTATTTCTTTTTATACATTTATATAGATTACATGACCAACATCGAGAGGAAAAACATTCACAGAATTTCCTATAAACTTCAAATTAAGAGTGATTAATAACTTTAAATGGATCTATATGATGAATGTTTAATGTCTAATGTTAAATAACTATTATATGGACTATGGCTGGTTAAAATGATAACAGATATTCATTTGATTACCTCTATAGTTATTTTTTAGACAATATATTTAAACATAAACGGTTTTTAAGCAAAGATGACTAGTAGTTAGCAGTGAAATCCAGTTTGTCGCGCGTTTCGTCCTATTCGGGATTCGTCAGCTGGATGTACCTGCATTCCAAAATTGATGTCCACTCCAGGATTCGAACCCAGTAACGTTTGCTTCAAACGCCATAGCGCTATCTACTTAGCTACTGAGTCAAAACCCGCATCCTAGATTCTACTGCTAACCTTGTGACTTAAAGCAATATCGAGGCGATACGCGCAAGATGAACATACGTCAACAAGAGACTGATCAATTACAATCCTAGATAACAATGGAAAGATACAAGTAAAACAACATCAAGTGAATTTAAGCTGTTTTATTTTATTCTTACAATGAAATTAAATAAGTTAAAATGAAATAATTAATGAATGTTCCAATCTGTGATGAAAAACAATATCAGATTGAATTAAATGAATATCCAATTAAATCTAAAGATTTGCTTATTTATTTTAAAAAAACAATAAAATATTTTATCGACTTATTTTTATCATAATTCAAATTACGAACTGAAATTAGCTTGATCACCGTTTAAAAATAAAAATTATTGATTGGCTGTTTTGTCATATTATGGGAATCTTTATTAATGAACATTCACAACCTTTGTGGATAATGAAACTAAAAGGTGTCCTGTAACAGGACGAAATAACTGTCTAGTGATTTTCGGTTATCAATGATAAATTAGCTAAGATCATTTCATGATTTAAACCATGAAAATTCTTCAATCCTTAAAAAACCCATCATTTCTTAAATATCACTTGATGATAGTCAATGAACACATTTAAATAGATTTATAATCTTTGATATTGAACAGTTAAAGAATATAAATCATAATCTTACCTTTGGCTTTATTCGATTTAGCACGTGAGTAAATACCTTGAAAATATTGTACATGTTTATGTGCAGCTGCTGCAGCCAACACTACATTTGAATTCGAATTCCCAATATGTTGATGATAATTTGAGTAGGGATATGAATTTAAAGCATTAAAATCAAACATGGATGATTGTTGACAAGTAGGTGGTGGTGGTGGAGGTGGTAAAAACATTGAATTTGTTTGTTGCATCACAGGAAATGAAAGTGAATGATGATTATGTTGATTATAATCACGTGAATTATGAATTGAATGATAGGCTGGCAATAATGAAGATGGTAATGTTGTAGACGATGATGTCATTGATGTTGAAGTACAAAATGATCTTGGATATAATGAATTCATATTCGATATATTAGTGGAACTATTCAATGTACTAAGTGAATTCGTTAAACTAGTTGTAGTCATTGTTCTTGTACAAGGATCAAAATTATTGTATGATGCTGCAGCCATAGCAACACCATGATATAAACAAGAACGTGCATAACTAGCAGCTGCCGCTGCAGCAACTACATTGACACATTGACACTTTGAATCATCATAACTATGATTACAAGTTATAGGCATTAAAGATGTACTATTATTATTATTATCGTTATTGTCTAAACATGACCAAGAAGGTCTTGATGTTGCATTGCCAGTATTAGTAGTATTAACAGTAGTATTTTTATTCAGTATGGAAGAACTACATTCTTCCATTTTAAGATGTCGTTGTTGATTTGTTACTTCATGTATCTGTGTAAAACTATTGTTATCATTACTATTAGTATTATTGTCATTATTATTATTATGTAAATAAGAATTCATCTGATGAAATCTATCATTTTGATTAAGATGATCATGGTTTAAAGTATGTAGATCATTTAAATTTTGTACTAGTTCTGGTGTCATTGATGAATTAGCTATAGAATGTATTAATTCATTAGAAGTAATAGAATTCATTGAACTAATAAAATGTTGTGATACATCAGATGAAAATGATGATGATGATGATGATGACGATGATGATGATGAAGAAGAAGAAGAGAATGATGAAGAATTCAATGAATTAAATGTATTTCCATTCGATGTATTAAATCCCATTGAATTACCTAAAACAAATGCTGTAGATGGCCATAAATATTTTAAACTTGACATAATTATTATAATCAATGTTCAATTTATAAATTATACCATAACATATTAGACAAACATATGCTCCTTTTTTTATTTATTCTTTTCTCTTCATAGATTCTTCTTATGTTTTGTTTTTTTAACGTATACATATAATCCATTTTATATACATGAATAGATTATTCATTATCACTAACTTATAATGAAATCGTTTGTGTTTTCATTCAAGAAAGAGAGAGAGAAAAAAAAGAGAAACTGTTATCAATTTTAATATTTAAATTACTTTTTCTTTTTTCAGGTCAAATTTTTTTTTATTTTCTCAGGGTAGCAAATCAAATTCTTTTCTTTTTACTTACATATAATAATCTTTTTCCATATTCATACGTATATATATTTTTTTGCATTTTAGATTTTCAATTAATTTAACTAGAAACTGAATGATTGATAGATTCATGAAGGTTTCATTTAGTTTCATTTGATTAGTTAGTTATTTGAATGAATGAATGAATGAATGAATGTATAAGTTCATAGAATGAAATAACATTCGTTTAAGTATTAAAATATTTAAACAAAATAAACATTGAACAATGAATCAATTGAATAAAAACAAATCAATGTATATTTATATGTTAGTCATTTATCTAGTTATTCAAATAAATAGACGGATAGAAAGAGTTCATTGAATAATATGTATACATACTCTCCATTATGTTTTCAATATGAATGTATTATTTGTTTATTATAAATATTCATTGATACAAATACATATAGATTCGTATTACTTTTGTTTGAATACATTGTAACTATTGATGATAGATTCAGTTTATACAATATAGATATATATATATATATCTTTTTAATTATTTCAATGATGAAAATTATACTTTCTTATCATAATTAGTAATAAAACCAAAAACAAAATTTGAATTTATCACCTAAAATTTTCAAACAATAATTATTTCTTAAATAGTTAATATTGAATCTTAAAAGGAAGAAAGATTTACTGGATATAATTCACCTATATTATTCTTCTTATTATTATTATGATTATTAATATTAATATAATCGAAATTAACCAATCACAATTTTTGTCATTAATATCTGATTAATGATTGGTTAATTTAATCCCTATATACATATATAGACAGTAATAATGAATAAGAAATATGACCGATTGATATAAAAGTTTATATTAGGAAGAAATAGGGAAAGAAAATTAAAACAAGAAAATTCCGCTATTTTATTTTCTAGTCACTAATTTATATTATGAAATGTAACAGTATTTCCTTTTATGCATTCATTTCAGTTGGGGTTTTTTTTTAAGAAAAAAAAATAAATGTTTTTCATTCTGTTTCACAACACATATGTATACACATACATGTGTGTATATTTGAATGCTGTGAAAAATAACAAATTAGTATCAATAAAAGAAAGACAGAGAGTTAAAGAGACAGGGATAGAAATAAATAAAAAGAAAGAGAGACAGAACTTCAGTGAAATAAACTCATATATATATGCATACACACACACATAGGGAGCTGGAATAGAACATGGATAGAATTGAAAACTGTAATAAAATGCATGTTAGTCAATCATTATAAAATATTCGGTTGTAGTTAATTAGGAGAAAAGAGAAAATTGTTGCGGAGAAAAAGATTTGTTCGTCTATTTGTAAGTATATTCTAGTTGACAATGAATTTTCGTGATTCAGTTGCTTGGTGAACTGACATTTTTTTTTCTAGTAAAATACAGAAAATGTGACAATTCTGTAATCTCCAAAAACTTTATACTGATAATATTTATGATAATAATAGTGACGAACTTCAAGTTGATTTCAGCTATGCCGAGTGTGAGGGAATAAAAGATGATCGCTCAATATGGTCAATAGATTGAATTTAGACATGCACATTTAGTGGTCTAGGTGTCATACGTTCACATTCAATACTGTAGGTCTTAGGTGCAGTAATCCCATACTAGAGTGAGATAGCTGTCCAGTGATACTTTGTTTTCAATGGTGGTCTAGCAAAGATCAGCTCATGATTTACAAACTACTAATCATAAAATATAATATCTTATTATTTTTCCCTACTGAGTTACAAAATCCCACCAATAAATTAAAATATGCACGAGAAGAATAGTAATTCTTCGAAATGTGATTTTTATCGGTATTTTGCCTCAGATAACCAGCATCGACAACGATATTATCTCTTCATAACAAAAAAGGGGCTAGAAGAGATCGATCGTAAAAATAGAACACCTCATCTTGCTCTAGATATTTCCTCTCCAGAGGTTAGACCTTTGAAATACAAAGCTAACGCATCACTCCATAAGGAAACGCTGTGTACGATGGTTTTCATGCTGTTGTCTGCTAGGATCCAAAATAGTTAAGACCACTACTAAAATAGTTTTTTTCATAAACCTTAAGGAAAATTATTTTTCAATGGTGTTAGAGACAGGTTAGCGAAACCATTCACACATATCTAACAAGAAAAAAAATCGACTCTTCACAACCAGATTCTTCCTGCTGACAAGCCAATAATATTTTAATGCGTTTGCGAAGTTTTACCGAAAGCCTATAACACAAAGTAGTGAACCAAATCAGAAATGAAATAGTGGCCTATCAATAGCATTGTATGGGGACAGCAAATGACTAAAGTCGAAGAAGTAGGCTACTTATACTTCTGACAGATATAACAGGTACTCGCCAAAGGAACCACCACGATTCAGAGAAGAGTATAAAGATGACAGAAGAGAATTTACCAGGCACTAAATACAAATCGAAACTGAATCTGACTACATTGCTTTTAAAATATTTTATGTACATTGATCACCAGTCGGTTTCAAAAAAATCAGATAAAGTAACAGTTAACAGTCAATAATTAAATGGATAAAAGTAATTTGTAATATCAGAAGGGGTTTTGTGGATATTATAGTAATTTCAAGAAAAAATGAGACCATGAGTCAATTAAAGCTAGACCACCATGGAAAACCTGGAAGCACTGGACGGTCGTTTTGTCTTAGTATGGGACTCCTCAATAGTACGCATCCACGATCCCGCCTCGCGAGATTCGAACCCAGGACCTATCAGTCACAACAGTGAACTGTTAAAATTAACAAATATAACTAATTGATAAGGTTATGAAATTGCTATTTATTAAAATGTGATTAAATATCAAAGACAATAGGAAAAAAATCAATTTTATTGATCACTTAAACTGCAACCAATTAAGATTACTGTGTTCAAACATAACTATATCATGTTTTATTGCTTAGAAAGGTAAAACAATTTACAATAGACTAATTTTAAGTAATCTCTAAAGAATAACACAAAGTACATATAAATGTTTATTAGCTGTTCACCTAATGTAGAATATACTGCTGAATACTAGATAAGTAGTTTATTGCAATTGTTTGTAACAATTATTTATGAAATTTTCCACTAGTTTAATATTAAAAAAAGGACAAAAGAGAAGATTGCTTGACTGAATGATCTGTTTATTTGGATTGCTGAGTTCATTAGTGTTGCGCTTTTAATAAATTCAATACAAAATAAGTTCACACTATCATCCCGGTATATTGTGTTCGAACTTCGCAGATGCACTAGCTCTTCGATCCCATACACTGCAACAAATCCAGGTGAAGACAGTCACTTTAGCAGCAGCCACTGCACAATCAAGCCTCAATTTACGTAAGAGAAAAATCATGATCCTTCACTACAACACAGATAGCATCAACCAAACCACACTTGATGGAGAATTACTGGAAGGACTGGAAGCATTCATATACCTGATTGGCATCATTTATGAACAAGGAGAATCTAATACAGATCTTAAAACAGCGATTGGCAGATCATAGGGACTATTTCCACAATTAGAGAACATCTGAAACTCAGAACAACTATCAGCCAACATTAAAGTCAGAATTTTCAATACAACTGTCAAGGTAGTTCTACTGTATGGAGTTGAAATTTGGAGAACTACAACAACCATCATCAAAAAAGTACAGGTACTTGTAATCAATTGTCACCCCAAGATACCTTTGATTTATTGGCTCAATACCATCAGTAACAACTTACTGTGGTAAAGAGAAAGACAATTTCCAGACAAAGAGGAAATTAGAAGATTCTGCAGGTGGATAGAGCACATATTACGGTAACCATCATAGCACATAACAAAACAAGATAACATTGAATCCTGAAGGGAGAAGGGAAACAGGAAAACAAAATACTTATTTTTTTGGGAAGGGGTTGGAGGCAGATAACAAATAAATGAACAAAAATACGACGAATAAAACATTTGCCTTTAGTTATTTCGCTTCCAAGTCTTATTATCCAACGGCAATAACGTATAGGGTCAAATTTGCGGAACATGACATTCAAACAAGTCTCAACAGTTTTAATACACTAATTTTTTTGAATATTATAGAGAAGAAAAATGATCTACTTGTATTCGTGATCTGATGGGTGAAAACCAAAAAAAATCATTGGTCATTTTTATGATCTTCATTTCCACTATCTGCTAGATCTAATTGTAACTCGCTCGCACACGAAACTGATAGTTCCTGGGTTCGAGTCTTGCGAGCAGGGATCGTTGATGTGCACTGCTGAGGAGTCTAATAATGAGATGAAACGGCCATCACGTGTTGCAGGTTTTCTATGGTCATCTAGCCTCAAGTGACTCATGATCTCAACTATTAAAATTACTATAACATCCACAAAAACCCCCTTCTGATATAAATCATATTCAATTTATTAAATTTTGTGCTTGGTGTGAACGCTTTGAAGAGATTCACCTAATTATTTTTTTTTGTAAGTTGTAAGTGTTTATTATTGAAATGTCGCATAGTAGGACAAAACATTTTGATTAAAAAAATAAGAATAAACTTATTTATTTTCATATCCTCAAAATGAAGCTGTAAAGAGTTTAGAATCTTCATAAATTTCTCATTGAAATGTTGCATCATAAACTGATTTCTATTTACTGGTTTAATGATCAGTTTCCATGAAACGGAAGGTAATGTGTTCGATCCTCAGTGGAAGGTATCAATATGTACTTCTGATGAGTCATATACTAGAACGAAACGGCAGTTCAAAGTCGTCTAATTTTCAACAGTTGTTTATCAAATATTAACTCATGATGTAAACTATAAAATTCCCCAGTTTTCACAAACCTTCTGCGATAAATTTTCTATTCATAAACACATTGAAACAATAAAATTTATATCAGAAGGGTTTTGTGGAGATTGTAGTAATTTCAATGATTAAGATCATGAGTCAGTTGAAGCTGGAAAACCATGGAAATCCTGGAAGCACCGGCTCAGTGGTCTAGTGGTTAAGTGCTCGCGCGCGAGACCGGCAGGTCCTGGGTTCGAATCTCGCAGGGAACGGGTTCTTGGATGCGCACTGCTGAGGAGTCCGACAATAAGATTTATTAAGAACAGTCAATATTGGTCGGTTAACTAATCTAAAGTGAAAAGAATAATGAAGAACATTAAAATTATTTATTCACTAGATGAAAATATGTTAGTTAAGAATCTCCTATGTACATTTTTTATTATGAAAACTTAACACAATTCAGCATCAAGTTGTATATGAATTGTGACAATTAGGTCTCACTAGAGATTTTTAAACTTCAGTAATTACGCAACAGAATATCTGGATAATGTATGCTTCACTTGATGGTCTATTAATGAATATATACAGATATAAATGATAAGAAGTAGTGTCTCAACGACCAAACCACACGACGTTCAGCTACTAGGTCACTATTTTGAATCACCTTCAAACTAGATTTAGACAACCTAGCAGTGGTAGTATTGGTAGTTCTAGTATGGTGAACGAGAATACAAGTGGAGACAATCGAATGTATTTCAATACAACATTACAAAATATCTTAATAAAATCTGAGAATCATACAGTAAATACTTCATTCTCAAAGTGTCAATCAATTGTCTCAGACTTTATTTTTCCTTCGTTTCCACACCAATCACTCTCCG